ATATGTGTCCCTGGATTGGGTCTGGCCCCTGCCATAGTACCTGGACCTCCTGCCAAGAATGTATGTATATAGTAGCTTTTCCCCCCATGCCCCTTTTGCATTCTCAAGCTTACCTCAGCGGACTCAGGTTGTACTTGCCCTTTTGTGCTTGGCTTACTTCACTTAGCATAATTTCCTCCAGTTCTTCCCATGCAATGATGTGCTTCATGCGTTCATCACTGCTTTTTAGGGATGCAGAGTACTCCATTGTATGTATGTACCACATTTTTTAATCCATTCTTCTGTTGATGGAAATTTGGGTTGTTTCCAACTCCTTGCAATTGTGAACTCTGCCACGATGAACATTGGAGCACAGATGTCTGTCTGTAGTTTGTTTCTTGCCTCTTCTGGGTATATGCCCAGTAAGGGGATTGCTGGGTCGTATGGTAGCTCAATTTCCATGTGTTTTAGATATCACCAAGTTGATCTCCATAGTGCTGTATATACCCACAGGTCCACCAGTAGTGGATGAGAATTCCTATCTCACCACAGCCCCTCCAACACTTGTTACTGATTTTTTGAATTGAATTATCTTTGAGGGTGTTAGGTGGTATCTCATAGTTGTTTTAATTTGCATTGCTCTTATGGTTACTGATCGGGAACATTTTCTCATATGTTTATTGGCTATTTGGATTTCTGCCCTTGTGAAACTTCTGTTCAGGTCCTTTGCCCACCTCCTCAGTAGGCAATTAGTTTTTCTTAATTTTATGCTAGCAGAGTACTATAGATTTTAGTAATAAGGCCTTTGTCTTATGTGTCATTGCTAAACATGTTTTCACAGTCCGTGGGGAATCTTCTTACTCTTGGTGAATTCTTTCAATTTACACAGGCATTTTATCTTCAGTATATCCCACTTGTCAATCTGTGCTTCATCTGTATTTGTGTCCTTCCCTATTTCTGATAGCCTATGTATTCTATTTGGGATCACAAAGGGGTAGTATTTATAGATTTTCTTAGAGGACACAGGATAATCATGATGAGTTATTATAAAATTTTAATAAAATTTAAAACTGCATTGGTGTGAAAACATTAAGAAAAATTGTACCAAGAAGCTGATCTTCCTACCAACAACATTCTTTCAGGTTAGCAATGGTCAACTTATGAGAATATATTTGCCAAACCTTACCTCATACACCCTACATCCCTGATCTTGCACCTTCAGACTTCTTTTTGTGGCCTAAACTCAGAGAACATTTATGTAAACGAATATGATTTGAATCGCAAGGATGGGAAAACTGCTTTTTTGACGTGGTGTGAATCAAAGAGCACAGAATTCTTTAGGAGAAGAACTTAAAAAAAAAACCAACACCTCCCTGCCATCAGTGATTAAGATTCAGTGTCCATGAGAGAGAGGATAGGACTATCCTTGAGGTTTTCCCACAGTAAAAAGCCTCTTCTCTCTTACAGAGTGGCTGGCACTGTGGAAATACTGACTTTGTGATCAGCAGCCCAACATGGAACCCCTATGCCTCCAGAGCTCTCTTTCAGTGGTTAGAGAGGTGGAAAACCCACCTTCAGAAATCTGTAGATATAGGTGGAGGATATGTTAAGATGTGGTTAACATTATCTTGAGGTTTTTATATTTTTGTTTAATGAAAATTTCTGTGAGTTTGCAGCAACACTTGTTGATTTCTCTTCATAGGCTGGCAACTCTGTATACCAATCCTACTCTTCCTGGACTTGAGATTCTTATCTCTGTGTTTATTTGATTAGTAAATGGATGCACTATTTTTAAAAATCATTTTATTGGGGGCTCTTATATCTCTTATCACAATCTATACATATATCCATTGTGTCGAGCACATTTGTACCTATGTTGCCATCATCATTTTCTTAATGAAATGAACCCTTGGTAATTTTATTTTATTTTCATGTCTTACACTGACTATTATCGCCCTTCGCCCACTTTTCTGTTGTCCATCCCCCTGGGAGGGGGTTATATATATCAGTCATTGTGATCGGTTCTCCCTTACTCCCCCCACTTTCCCTTACTCTCCTGGTATCACTATTCTCATTTGGTCCTGAGGCGTTTATCTGTCTGGGATTCCCTGTGTTTCAGCTCTTGTCCATACCAGTGTACATGCTCTGGTCTAGCAGGATTTGTAAGGTAGAATTGGGGTCATGAATGTGGGGGGGAGGAAACATTAAAGAACTAGAAGAAAGTTGTGTTTTTCGTCCATGCTATACTGCACCCTGACTGGCTCATCTCTTCCTTAAGACCCTTCTGTAAGGGGATGTCCACTTGACTACAGATGGGCTTTGGATCTCCACTCTGCACTCCCCTTCATTCACATTGATATGATTTTTTTGGTTTTGTTTTGGGTCTTTGATGCCTGATACCTGATCCCATTGACACCTCAATCAAACAGGCTGGTTTGCTTCTTCCATGTGACCTTGATTGCTTCTCAGCTAGATGGCCGTTTGTTTATCTTCAAGCCTTTAAGACCCATCAGCTTTCTTCACATTTGCTTATGCACCCATTTTTTCTTCAGAGATCACATCAGGGAAGGTGAGCATCACAGACTGCTGGGTTAGTAAAACAAAGTGCTCTTGGGTTGAAGGAGTACTTGAGTGGAGACCCCCTGTCATTAAATGTAAATGTATTTACATATATACATGCCTGTATTTAAACCTCTATAAATGTGTTTTGCCTTCTTTCCTCTCCTTTTACTTTCCTCTTGTCCTACTTTCCTTACTTTGCTCTTGTCCCACTATCATGTTTGGCCTTCATTCGGGGTTTCAGTAATTCCTCTCATCTACATAACCCTTGATCAAGCCCACCCAGGCGTCCTATGCCCTCCTCGCCATTGATTTTTAGATCACTTGTTCTTCCCTTGTCCCTTGTCCCTGGATTTGTTGGCAACCCCCTTCCTTTCCCCTGCCTCCCCACTCCCATCTCCCCCAGAACTGTCAGTCCCATTGTTTTCTCCTCTGGATTGTTTATCCCCCCTATCTTATCTAGACAGACATGCAGAGATAATAATAAGCACAGAAAAAAGGCAAAGCAAAACAACAAAAACAACAGCAAAAAAGAAAAAGGCCTATCAATAGTTCTTGGTCTCTCTGTTGACCTTTATAAGGTTTTCCAGTCCAGTCTGATGGGGTGCCACACTCGGCCCCAAAGTCCATTTGTTGTATTCCTTGAGGACTTCATTGCTTTGTTCCCCCTGCTGTTCTACTGCACATTCCCAGTGTTTTGCCTGGTGATGTGGGGTCAGATTTGTCACAACTCCCACACTGTCTCCAGTGCTGACCCCCGTAGTGCTATGGGTCAGTGAGGGATGTCCTGTCTCATGGTGTGGCCAACCTTTGGTCCTTTCTGTGCATTGTCTACTCTGAGCCAGAATATCATCCTTGGGGCTTGGTGGGCCAGGATGTGTTCTACTTTCTCTCTTTCCCTCTTCATTTTGGATGCACTATTTTTGCGAAGTCTATTTTCCCCAGAATTTGCAACCTTGGATATTTCTCTACAGAGGGTACAGCCTTAGACATCACACAATCACCTTGGTATATATTTGGCCCAGAGAAGAGGAAAGGTGAAAATATTATTTAGCACAATAAGGAGCCTCATTCCTTCAAAATATAAATTATAACGGGAAAAGTAGGAAAGGAGAAAATATTATTTAGTACAATAAGGAGCCTCATTCCTTCAAAATATAAATTATAAGGGGAAAAGCAAGGTGGAGGAAGCTACAGGTTCAAAGACATTTCATGTAATCATCTGAAAGTTTATATGAACTAATGAATTAGTTACATTTTTATATGAAAGTAAGGTTATGTTTTGAAGGAAGTCTTTACCTTTTAAAGATAGAGAATTGAGAGAATTGTAAAAGTAATCACTTTCCAGTAAGACCACAAACCCAGAGCAAATTCTCAGAAACCCATAGACATAAAATAATTTTTATGTACAACTATATATATTTATGAAAATAGAAATATAATTCATTTTATAACGTTAACATAATAGAGATACTGAAACTGGTCAGGTTGAATTTTTAAATGTGACAACTTATCTGTGATCACTCGCTCTCTTGACCCAATTTATAATTGTTCTGGTTTTTAATATTTTATGCTTTGTTATCAATTGAGGTTTTTCTTTATTTCACTGTGTCATTGTTGTTGGATTGTTTGTATTCTCTTTTGATTGTGTATGATTTCCTGTATATGAAACCCAGATTAGGTAAACCTATTGAAACAACAATAAATCATTTGTTTGGATCAATAGATCTCTGGAGCAATAGATTCAAGTAAACATGACAGGGGAGGCTGGTGGGAAGTGGGGAGCTAATAACAAGCACAAGAAAGAAGAAATGTACTGGAATTGTTTGTAGTGATTGTTTTGTAGCTCCTATGAATGTGATTAAACTATTGAAATGTATGAGATGTGAATTGTATGTTGGTGAAATTGTTAAATATAAACTAGTACATTAAAAAATAAGATTTTTTTAGAGAAACCTCTCTTAATATACAGTATTATTGTATTAAAATTAAGACTATTTTAAGGAAGGTCAACATTACCACATATATAAAAGTGTTTCAATGGTGATAAATCACTGATTTAACACACATTGTATTTATAAATGTGCTGTTTAATATTGTGGAATTTTCTAGCTATCTTTCTGTTATTGGGTTCTATGTTAGTCCTTTATGGAAATGAATAGATAATAATATACATTAAGAAAAAGCAGTCTGAGAACATTTGTTTGGGAATATGAAGACACACTTCATAATAAGGAGTTGTAAGAGTCAAGATTGTTATCTTCTGAGCTCCAGAGAGCAGAATGAGGGGCAAAGGTAGGGCAGTGATTTTATTTTATACTAGTTAAAAGTGTTTACTTGTTTTTATGTTGCTAAGGACAAAAATTAATTTTAAAAGTTTGTTAAGTGTCAACAATAGTCATGATGTAGCAGAAAAGAGAGATGATTTTATTCACATATGTATATTTTTTTTCTCTCCTTAGGCTCTGGAAAATAACAGTACCAATGTCAAAAGATGATATGATTAAGGAAATTAAAGGAAACAATGTGGCTTTTCAAAATTGCTTTATTGGGAATAGTTTGTTTCTGCTGACTTTTCCTTTGGTGCTGGAATCTGATATTCCTGGTTATGTATCACTCTCTTTACCAGCTGGTAGTCAAGTGACGTATAATTGGAATACCTGCATGCCTTCATTTGTTGTTTTGGTAACTGACGTAGAGACCTATCAAACAAACGATTCATTCCATACTTGGTCAAAGCTTAGGGTGCCCCCAGGCATTCTGAGTGACCATCAAAGACAAAAAGTAACACAAGTGACCCTATTACAGGACAGTATATTTTTTCTAATAGATGGTGGTCTTTATCTAAAAGAGTCTAGGACTTTTATTAAACTAGGAAGAAATGTAAACCTTCCTGATGATAGAATTATTGGTATTTCGTCAAGAAGATGGTGCTGGATCCTCTATCTACACAAGGTTAGTAAAAGATGACAAAAATATAGATTACCTAAACATTTACATCTATGTACCGTACCATTATTCATTAATTTATCAAAGATTATGCTGTAGAGCTTTTGCGCTATAGGGTTATCTTATTTAAGGCTGAAAATAACTTTATTCAGTTGCAATATTTTTGTTTGGTTTCTTTTCAGTGTGTTTATCCTTTTCCTAAATCCTGATTTTGTTTTCCTTATTTTAGATGTTTATGTTTTGCCTTAGTTCTCTAATGGTGTGTAACGTGATTATATTTTTGCTGTATGCTTTCATTCTGTTAATTATTCAGACTTCGAGAACCAACAGCAGGCCAGCGGGCAGCTACATCCTTAGCGCTGGCGGGAGCCAGTCATCCCCGCCCCTTTCCCCTTCTTCACCTGCCGCGTTCTCGGATGTGGCGGCCCCGGACCCGACAGTGACCAGCCGGCTGGACTCGGTGTTCCCCTTCCTACTTGTCCTAGTGGCTTTGCAGTACGAAGGTGCTCAATGTGGAGTCAATGCAAGATTGAGAAACATCTTGAATTGGACAAGAACTTACTTGCAGCTGGGCAGCTCGCTGATGCTTTATCTCAATTTCCTGCTGCAGTAGATGGTGGTCCTAATAACTATAATGCCTGCTACCGGAGAGCTACTGTCTTTTCAGTTATGGGTAAATCAAAAGCAGCACTTCCTGATTGAACTAAAGTGATTGAATTGAACATGGATTTCACTGCAGCAAGATTACAGAGAGGCCATTTATTACTCAAACAAGAAAAACTTGAAGGAGAAGATGATTTTTAAAAGTGCTCGAATCCAATCCAAGTGAAAATGAGGAAAAGGAAGCCCAGGCCCAACTTTTGAAGTCTGATGAAATGCAACACTGCTGCTCACAGCACGTTAAGCTTTCGAAGATGCAGATTAAACTGCTGCCATCACCTTCCTTGATAAGATGGTAGAGGTTTGTGTTTGGGATGCAGACTTATGAGAACTTCGAGCTGAAGGTTTCATGAAAGGAAGGGAACCTAAGAAAGCCATCAGTGATTTAAAAGCTGCATCCAAATTGAAGAATGGTAACCCAGAGGCCTTTCGTAAAATCAGCACACTGTACTACCAACTAGGAGACCATGAAATGTCCCTCAGTGAAGTCCGTGAATGTCTTAAACTTGACCAGGATCATAAAAGGTGTTTTGCACACTATAAATAAGTGAAGAAACTGAGTAAGCTGATTGAGTCACCCGAAGAGCTCATCAGAGGTGGCAGGTACATGGATGCGACCAGCAAATATTAATCTGTAATGAAAACAGAGCCAAGTGTTTCTGATTATATAATTCATTCAAAAGAAAAAATCTGCCACTGCTTTTCTAAGGACGAGAAGCCTGTTGAAGCTCTTACAACCTGTTCTGACGTTTTATAGCTGGAACCTCATAATGTGAATGCTCTGAAAGAGCAAGCAGAGGCCTATTATATAGAGGAAATGTATGATGAAGCTATGGAGGGTTATGAAACTGCTCAGGAGCACAATGAAAAGGACCAGCAGATTAGAGAAAGCACACAGACTATGAAAATAATCACAGAAAAGAGGCTATTACAAAACCCTGGAAGTAAAAAGAAATGCCAAAAAGCAAGATAAAAAGCACACAGAAAATTAGCAATGCAGTGGTATCCAGATCACTTCCAAAAGGAAGAAGAAAAGAGAAGTTCACTGACCTAGCAGCTGCAAAAGAAGTCCTCTCTGATCCAGAAATGAGGAAAAATTGGATGATGGAGAAGACCCCCCTGGATGCAGAGAGTCAGCAAGGAGGTGGCGGCAACCCCTTCCACAGAAGCTGGAACTCATGGCAAGGGTTTAATCCCTTTGGCTCTGGTGGGCCCTTTAGATTTAAATTCCACTTCCATTAAACCAGCTACTTTTCTGCTCTTAAAAAAATTATTCAGACTTCCATATATGCCATCTTACTCCTGTCATCATGATTTAGATGGATCATCTAAATCTTTTATCTTTGTGTCTCTTATGATTTTTTGGTTGGGGCAATGGAATTTTCTAGGATGTTAGCTTTCTCGGGTTTTTTAGTGTTTGTTTTTGCCCACAGTACTTTGTTGGAGAAACGCTGAGGTGGGCAGAGTCACCAGCCTGTGCTTACTACTTCCTCTCCCTCTCTGTGATAGTTCCTCCTCCCTCCCTGATTCCATTGAGATTTGAAACTGCCAGATGGGCTTTCAACTTTTTGTTGTTTGTTGTTGTTTTGCTTCCAACTTTGAATGTCTTCAAAATATACCAAAGAACATGCAATGATCAATCTGTCTGCTGCTCAGACAAGATATCACAAACTAAACAATCTGCTCACCTGGAGACACCGTCTGATTTCTCTCTGCTATGTTTTCGCAACCACATTTTCCATTGGAAAGCTTCTGTGTTGCTGATTTTGCTAAAGCCTTTCTTCCCTGCTCTGTGAGGCTCATTTATATCTAAGCTGTCATTCAGGGGAAACATAGGCAAACTTTCTTTCAGATCAGAACAAAGTGATGTTGGCACTTTGCAGATGGATGTTAGAGAGATTTGTCTCATGGGTCTCACTGGTGGGTAGTATACGTTAATATACTGGTGGGTAGAGTCTACTCAAGGTGCCTGCTTTCTAACACACAGCAGCCTCAGTCAGTAGTCCTCAATTCCAACTGGAGGGGAGAGGTAAGCAGATAAATCACAACTGACAGTTCCCTCAGGGAGATTTGTCCTGTTGATTTTGAAGGCCTAAGCTGTATAGCGTACACAGGTAGGGAGAGTGCTGGCCATGAAAACAGGCTCAATAGTAGAGGGCATTTCTGTAGCAATTCAAAAAGGCCTGGCAGCCGACAGTTCCAAGTGAGGGAGGAGCTGTCATATTCCAAACAGACCTCTAGGAAGGTCTGCCTGGTTGTTCTCAGAGTATCTTGGTACTATTTTCATTAGGAGTACAGTGAACCCTCGCCACTTCGCGCTTCGACTTCCGCGGCTTCACTCTATCGCGGTTTTTGTGTAACAGCGCATGCTCTGTCATTACTGCCACTGATTGGCTCATACTGTACATGCTTGATGCCATAAATAATATAATAAATAATAAATGATAATTGTAACGTCCAAAATGTTTTACTGTATTTTCCCTTTTTCGTTTAATAAATTGGGTAATACGAGTGTAATGGTAACTAAAGGGTGTTTTTTCATGTCCTCTATGCTCTAACTATGAAAATATTTGATTTACAAATAAGGAATCCTACTTTGCGGAATTTCATTTATCACGGTAGGGTCTAGAACCGATTAACCGCGATAAACGAGGGTTCACTGTATAGGTTTTACGCCAGACATTCACTCCCTAGCATCTAGCAGCCTCAGACAGTAGTACCAACTGGAAGGGAGGGCAGATAGACCTAAATTGACTTCCAGTGAGATCTTCCCTGTTCATTTAAAAAGCCTGAACTATGAAGTGCACAGGCAGGCAGGCAGGCAGCAAGAATGCTAACTATGAGAGCAGGCTCCATTGCAGGGGGATTTTCATAGCTAATCACAGCAGCCTGGCAGCAATAGTTACCAGGTTGGGGAGGTATATAACTGTCCCTTTCTGACCCAACACCACAGAGGTCTCTTTATCTAGAGATGCATTTTTAACAACGGAAAATAAAATGAATTTTATATTATTATGTGGAATAGCAAGAAACGATCTACAAAACGCTTTTTCTCATACAAAGACTCTGCTCTCAAAGACTATATTAAAACTGACGGAGTACACAAACCACAGCCCCATCTACCTTGAGGCCAGTAAAACGAAATAAACTACGAGTTTTAAAACATCAACCAAACAAACAAATTTAAGAAAACTAATTAGAAAGTATTTCAAACTGAATGCAAATAAAAACAAAACGTCAAAATGTAGAGGGCGCTGCTAAAGCAGTCCCTGCAGGAAATTTTAGCATGAACAACTTATATCTTAGGAGAATAAGGATCTCACATCAGCAACCTCTGCAGATATATGAAAAAACTAAAAATAGAAAGCCAAATTAACTCAAAAGTTAACAGAATAAAGGAAATAATAAAAAAATCATTGAAGAAATTAATTTCACGGAAAACAAAAAACTACAGAAACCTCAAAGAAATCAAAAGAGAAAAAAAATAATAACTTTATAGCCAAACTGGTCAAGATAAATATAGAAGACATAAATTATTAATATTAGGATTGAGAAAAGTGGAATCATTAGAAAACTACTGCTATTAAAGGATTAATAGTTCAGGAGCCCTGGTGGCATAATGGTTACAAGTTGGGCTGCAAATAAAAATTGTAAAAGAAGGAAGTACATCCCAATTTATTCTGTGAGGTCAGTTTTATTTGATATTGCAATCAGAAAAAATATTAAAAGAAAAAACACAGGCCAATGTCCCTCAATGACTATAGATGGAAGAATTCTAAACAAAAGTTTTAACAAACTCCAAGCAAAATTTTAGCAAACCTGATTCAACAATATATAAAAAGAGAATATATCATGATTAAGAGAGGTTCATCTCTGAAATGGAAGGGTGGTTTAAACTAGAAAATCAATAAATACAAATATCATACCTTGCATTATAATATAATTTTTAAGATTAACTCAGTAGAGGTAAAGCAAACAAACAAAAACATTTGACATTAAAAAATAACAACTACCAAATTGAGGGATAAAAGTGACTTTCCTTAACTTGACAAAGAACTTTTACAAAACCCTATTACTAGTAGCTTATATTATGATAAAAATACTGTATTTTAAAACCCAGATTTAAGATAATTATTGCTGTTATTAGACTTAAGTCTACATTTTGGGTTTGTTTTCTACAATTTTCATTCAACATTGTACTGGATGTTCTAACAGGTATATTAAGTCAAGAGACTGAATAGAAGTCATCCAGATGAAAAGTACTAGATTTGTCTTTATTTGTAAACATTATCAGACATAAATAAAACTGATGGAATCTATAAAGACACTCCTGTGGTTAATATGTG